GGACACCCGAAAGCACTTCGGACAATGAGCCCCACGGCGGCAAACGACCCCCATAGGGCAGTCTGTTCTCCCCCAGAGGCAGTCAATTCCCGCCCCAAGGAGGCCCATCGGGGCCAATGCGATCAGGAGCGGCATCTCCTACGCGAATGCGGCTCAAGGCTCAAGTAGCCAACAACATCAGAATGTTAATGCAGTCGAAGGCCTAGTCGCGGCGAGAATGATTACCCAGTTTCCCGCGCTACACACGATGTTCGCGGCAAACACCCCCGTCACCACTAGTATCTGAATGTGACCTGTATATTCCTTTGGTTCCGGAAGTTTCAGACGCCATATAGTAATTGATTCCTTCAAGATAGTCATCTGGAATGCCAACGGATTACTCAGGAAGAAAATCGATGTAGAGAACTTCCTGATAGAAAACGACGTGGATATTTTGCTCCTGCAAGAGACCCACTCGCAAGGAAACACTATAGCGATCCCAAACTATGTCTATTATAAAAAAAAAAGAGTCGGTAGACGCGGAGGTGGCATAGCCATCCTCATAAACAGATTGATTGGACATGCTCAAATTGGTCTAGACGAGGATGCGCTAAATCGTTTAGAAGCTACAGATATCGAGTAAATCTTCAAAGGGGTCTACACCGAATTATAACAGTATATAACCCCCCTAACAACCGCATACAACCGGAAGCATTCAGTGCTATCCTGATAGAAACAGACAACGCGACGATAGCTGCAGGTGATTTCAACGCGAAACACACGCAGTTGAGTAGAGCCACCAATATGAATGGCCGAGCGCTTTACGATTACGCCGATGAACACGGTTATCAGGTTTTGGGACCGCCGTTGTCTACCTACTACGACAACCTTAGAAGCTACGGTAACATGGTTCGAGGAAAATATAAGAAACGCACTCGCAGCGGTTACCACGACTTACGTGGAACCAAGGAAATACTATAACGAATTTCCTTGACGGATTAAAACACTAATTAGAGAAAGAAACCGTCTTAGAAGAAGATATCACAGGTCCCTATTTCCAGGAGATAAAGCCAGTGTGAAAGTCAGCGAAGTAAAACGCGCCATTCATGACTTCAGGAATGAACGTTGGCACGAATACCTCCTGGGACTTGAGCCCGGTGATAACTCTCTTTGGCGATTAGTCAAGAGCAGAAAAATCAAAAGAGAAGCTCAGACGCCAATACATGGCCAACAAGGTGTCTGTTTCACAACGGAAGATAAAGCTTCAGCCTTCGCGAATACTATGGAAAGCCAATTCAGGCTTAACACAGATCCAAACGATGATATCGATAGAGATATCCGAATCGAGGAAGCAGTGGAAGACACACTACTACTCTATGACGAGGACGTCATCAGACCCGTATCAGAAGAACTGAACGGGCTGATTCGAGCCACCAAGCCCAAAAATGTCCCAGGAGTTGATGCAATAACAAATAGGTTATTGAAACAGCTGCCAGACAACCAAATAATGTACCTTAAAAACATTATCAACAGTTCTCTGAATGTCAGACACTTCCCTAAGAGTTAGAAGCACGTTGAGATTATCATGATACCTAAAAAAGATCAAGACCCAAAATTCCCTCAAAACTACAGACCTGTAAGTCTGTAAGGCTCAGGGGAGCCCACTCTTGTGAACTACAAGCCCTAAGACTGGTTGAAAATTCAATTCAAGAGATCAATACAAGAAGACACGTTCAAATCTTACTATCAGATATCTTGAAGGCCTTCGACCGCGTCTGGCACGAAGGTCTTCTACACAAGATGATTTTCTTCAACCTACCACTGGGACTAGTCAAGTGGATAGTACAGAACTCTTACTGTGAAGCTTAACAACGTCCGGTCACCAGTAAGACTAATAGAGGCTGGAGAGCCACAGGGTACGATCCTTTCACCCACGCTCTACAACCTTTGTGTCAGCGATCTCCCCAGATTTGACCATGTTAAGATCTCTTTCTATGCTGATGATACTGCCCTGATGTCCTCATCCATGGCGGGAGAATTCGGTGTAGACTTGGTTCCTGGACTGGAAAATCCAAGTGAACCCCGCAAAAACACCAGCGATAGCACTAGGTAGGCAAAGTGCCCACCCAAATCTCAGAGTTATCATGGAAGGACAAGAAATCGCCCGGAGCCCCCAAGTTAAGTACTTAGTTCTAATTATAGACCGCAAACTTACCTGGGCCAAGCACATCGAATCCGTGAAGATTAAAGTGAGTGCGGGGATGTCACAGTTGTATCCTCTCCTCAATCGTAAAAGCAAGCTAAGTCTTGAACAAAGTCTTACTTTATAAGACTGTGTTCAAACCTATGATAATGTATGCCTCAGGAGTCTGGGGACATACAGAAAAAACAAACGTCGAAATTCTGGAACGGGTCCAGAATAAAATCCTAAGAATGGCAACGAACACTCCGTGGTATGTACGGAACGTAAACATTAGACGGGACCTGAATCTTCCAACCATTCGGGAGAGTATTCAGTCCCGAAATGGAGGAGTTTTCGAAACTGCGGAAACTCATGAGAACCCCCAAGTCAGGGCCGCGGTAGATTACGCTATCGACGACCCTTCCCGCTTTAAAAGGCCTCGCATCTCCGCGAGGTGAGGACACTGACTTGTGACCTCGGAAAGCTAGGAGTTGAACGGAGTTCAACAAATAACACGGCAGCGAGAATTAGTCTCGACCGTGCAACGCAACTAGGCCTGTATCACAGGCAGAGAGCACGAAAGAGTCAGATTTAAAAACCAACTCGATTTAATAAAGGCCGGTCCAGACGCTACATTTTGCACAACGTTTTATTTGCGCAGTTTAAAGATGGAATGAAAACGTTGCAATTGTTGGAGCGTCCACATGGTGCGGAGTTATCTGTGGATTTCGCTCAGTTTGTTATTTTATAACTGTCCGCGAAGTTATCTCCGTTGAAAAATCATCATTTGTTTTCAGCCTCCACGCTTTTTCTTCATCAACTCAGGCTTTATTTTGCTTTGTTTGTAGTATTTTTTATAATCAGTGATAATCATGGAGGAGGTACTACTCTGGTCAATTTTGGCATGCTGTCTTGTAAAAAATGAAAGATTGAAACGTCTCAGAAGTACCAGGCGTTCAAAGTAGTAGCGGAAGTGTCTTCTAAAAAGGCAGCACTTTTCCCATATTACATTACTGCGTGAATTACGTGATGAACCTAATGATTGGAGGAACTACGTGAGAATGGACATAGAAACAATCCTTAAGTGAAATCATTCCCGAAACATGCAAAGCTATTTTCAAGGTGCTGAAGAATGAATACTTGAAGGTAAGTAATAATGCTATTGTCTATGAAAGATTTATATTTATATGAACCTTAAAAACATCAGTGTTTCACAATACTTTGGGTAAGCAGAATGAAAATGCAGGCATGTGTCTCAGTTTGGTTGATATGTTGACAAGAAGTTTGCAGCAGAAGAGGGGGCAAGAACTTGATATGTGTGTGTTTGTAGATCTTCTTCACCATTCTGTGGGATGATGCGTGAAACTGCCGGAATTTGGCTAATTGTTTCATACTCATGAGTGCCTGTAAGTTGTTCTGGGACATAGTTATGTGGCATAGGCTGCGACTGCTGCGAGAAGGAGTGGTATGGTCCAACTTGTGAAGAAGGAGTATGTGGCATTCTAAATTGTTGCGGCATATTCTGTTGACGCCAATTCTGCCCATTCGTTAAACCAAAATCATCTTGTCGCTGGCTAGTCATATCAACAAGTTGAAAATTTCTGGACATCTGGACATCTCTGAGTTTATTACCAACATGTTTTCCAAACACGTGGAAAGCATCCTCTACCTGTAGCGACTCCAGTTTCTTTCCTACCAACTTCATAACGTCACTTGTACCATCATCATTTGGAACTGCCTTTCTCTTACGAGTTGAAGAGTGCGATCTTGAAGTATTTCGGGACAATGTTGCATTGGAACAAGAAGTTGATGCTTCGGAAAGAGGAGTAGTAGGCGCTTCAGCGGACAGAGCGTCAGCTGAACTTCCATCTGAAAATATTAAACAATTATCGATCTTCATAATTTTCCGACCTAGAGTCCGAAATATTATGGAGGAAGTAGTGGATTTTTACACAGACGTAGAATTTCGATGGACAGGGTCACTTTTAATCACATTTTGTCATTGATAATTGACAGAATATCGACAAATATTATAGATAAAGGTCGACATACTATTACCCCGATAGTTCAACTCTGCTTAGCTTTATGGTATTTCGGAACACCAGATTCCTTTAGGTACTTATTAATTTAATTACATAAATAAAAACATCTACTGAATACTTTCCTCATAGATCCATCTGTGGACGATTCAACGTTGGCAAAGCCACTGCTTTGAGGACTGTAAGGCGAGTTGCAGAAGCTCTATTATATATAGGCCCAAATTTTATATTATGGCCCACGAATGATTNTGATTCAATGACACTCGAAAACAAAAAAATCGAGTTAATTTCGGTTTCAAGAATCAAATATCTACATCAAAGGTTCCAGTAATTATCTCGCATATGTTCCCTTATTTGATGATACTGAATCGGGAAATAATGAAACAATATCGTCTGATGTTAACTGCTTTGAAAAAATATGAATACATAAACCCCTCTACTTGTTTTTGAATACTATAGATATCCGAAACACTCCCGTACAAATGTAATGAAAAATAAAACTTACATTAATTTCCATTGTGCTTTCAGAAAAATAACTATAAAATAGGGTTAAATTCAAACTTTCAAAGAGCAAACAGCCACAAAAAATAAAAAAATGACAAGTGACAATCAACTCACCGATCTCTAAACATCGGTCATTTCGGTGACAGATAATCAACCAAACTTCAGGAAAAATTTACCATTTTTTCAGGAATATGACATTTACGGGACACGAAATAACCAACCAAAGTAACCAAGTTGATTTACGGAACATATTCAGTATTGCCGCAACTTGCAACGCTGTCATTTGTCGATAAGTTGAAGTCCAATTTATTAAATGTCATATTTCGTTGGTTATTTCAAAACGAAAATAATTCTAATAAAAAATGTCCAGTGTTGTAGATACTCTGGTTGAAATGGGTTTCAGCAAACAAAAAGCGTAAGTGAAAAAGTAATATTGAACTTCATGGAACATAACCTGAAACTATTTCTCAAAAAATAGGGAATTGGCTTTAACAAGAACGGGAACTAACGATATACAGACTGCGATGGACTGGCTATTATCTCATGAAGCCGACTTAGAATCGACTGAAACCAGTAATCCCTCTGAACCCAATATATCTGAACAACCAGTGGAGTTAAACAACATGGAAACTTCTACACCAGAAGAACCTACAGAACCAGCTCCATCAGCCAATTCAATAAAATGTGACGATTGTGGAAAGTTATTCAAAACCAGTGAGGAAGTAGAATTTCATGCTGCCAAGACTCGTAAGTTATTTTCTGAAAACCATATCCTTATATTTCCCCATAACTTTGTTGAGGACTAATTGCAGATAAAGATATTTTGGTAATCATAATTCATGATCTACATATGGTCTATACACTTCAGTGATAAAAAGTAAGTACTCGAGGGAAATTAAATAACAACTAATCCCAGGCCAGAACGGTTTGTACTTATCTGAAAAAAAAGTACCTACTAAAGTAAAAGCGTAATTCAGCTGGTATTAGTCTCAGATCCAAATATGTATTTCACACCAGAAACTCAATTTTGCAACTAATATTTCTCTAGGGGATTCACGAACAGTGTGTTTTCCTCAGATGAACCATTACATAATTCTGGTCAGGGATTCCCCCAATCCTTGTAGTGATCTTAAAATAAAAAAAAGTAATGTTACACTGTTTGAAAATAATGTTTGTGGAGGAGTCAGTGTATCTAGCTGGCTTTTTAGGTATTTAAAATAAACAGAGTGTAATAAAGATCAGAGTGAAAAATTCACATTGAAAAGGTACTATAAAGAGTTCGATATTCAGTAATTAACATATTTGATGAGTAATGTATTTTCCCCAAATATGTCAGTGAAGAATCTAGAAAGAAAGGAAACAAATATTGAAAAGTCTTTTGAGATTTTCATTTGCTTGCTTTACCTTTCAGTGATATACCTATTTCTGGTGAGTTCACCATATTCAATGTATTCTTTATTATTGAAATAATTGTGTTGTAGGTTTTCTACTTTGAAAATAAATTCTTTGAGGTTTCAAATCCAAGAAGTATTTTTGAAGAGTGACAGCACCCCACTCCCAAATTCCGTAATATAATTGTATTTGAACTAAGGAAAAATATAACATTTCAAAATTTGAATGTTTTTAAAAATGTTGACCAAGTTTAATTTGGGTAATCACATCTTATTTTTTTATAATGACTCGGTCATTACTCTAAGTATTTAATATTGAGTTGGAAGAATTAATAGGGTTGCTACCCAATTTAGTAAATGGAAAAAGTAACGTTTCACTTACATGGAACACTGTGATCCTCACTGGTGAACATCCAATGTTTTCGCACAAAACACTTGCTTTATCACCTCTTCTGTACAAAATCTGAATAACATGTGAAATATGCATGTCAAAACTATTGTTCAAGTTTACTAAAAGTTTGATCAATTTTTACCTGGTAAATTCTACTCTCTAGTAATTGTTGAAGAGTATTGGTGTGAATTATTATTTTCTAAAACAATATATATTTCAACTATTGTTAGATTTGATATAAGAGATATAGGTCTATTTTCATATGATTTATATATTGGTTTGAATATACCTGTTTTGAAGGATTGCTGACATTTATCAAAATTGATAATATTTATGAAATATGCTTAAAACTTGGGAATGATTTTGTTGATTATTCCTGTTTATTTGTTATTTGATCATTTTCTCATTCGATTGTAGAAATATTGTAACACTCTTAAATGTGTCAACTTAATATTTGACATCCTTTGATGGTATTGATGGAATTTCTGACGCCAGCCTTATAAATTTACATTACACCAAGCAACTTCAGTTTAGACATGGTAATCCAGAGGTCTGTGTGATTCAGAATTCGGTAGCTGGAAATTCAGATTTGACTTAACCTTATGGAGAGTCTAACCTGTTTACCAGCTACAAAGAAGTTTCACTATCTTGAAGAAAGAAATATACCGATCAGTCACATATCTTTATTTAAATCAATCCGGTACTATCAATGTTCGATCAGCTATTTACAGAGACGAATGGGGCTTGCAACAAAGTTGAAGTGACAAATAAATAGTAAGCGGTCTAATGAAGCTTATCGGTGCTAAAGGACGTAAGCAAGCTAGAGGGGTTAGAAGCTCTACGTAATTTACTTTGAAAACAGTGTTTGTCTGTCACTAATCAGATTCATGCTACGTGGTAAACAAGCGAACGGCTTTTACAGGGCTACAATAGAGCGAGAACTGCAAGACAAAGTGGAATCACTGATAAATGTCCCGAAATAGCAAGGGTTTGGCAACTGAGCAAGCCCAAGTGGAACCACCCACAAAGGGTAGAGTGAGAAATGATATTTATCGAAAAGCAAACACTCCCAACGCATCGCAACGCAAACTTCAACTCCTAATGACAACGGATAGACAGCAAATAAAGTCTGGTCAAGTGAGGTGTTGGTTTTGCTGGACTGTTGTTGACATCGCATGGTGGATCATATGGTTGGTCGGCTAAGCCTGAAGTGAAAATAGGCACACAACCTTCTCTGGGGTTTACCCTAGGTTCGGCCGACTGACTTCGGGGGGCTTCACTTTCGAATATATATTTCCTGAGCCAACCCTGAACTAACTTGTTTTCAAACTATATACCTTACTTGATATTTATTTTCAACCGAACTTAATCTTTAACAATCAATAATTGTATTGAATAATTTGTTTATATGCTATTTTTGACGGCAATCTCATAAGGATTATTACTGGGAAATGTCTTTGATGAATATGAATTTTACTGGAGTATTATCATTGTTTAGCAAGAGTTTTTATCATATTTTATCTATTTGTATTCAACAGTGTCATTGCTTTTTTATATAAACATTTGAATAGTTGTAAAAATAAGCTCATTTTGTGACCGGCTTTCTAGTTGAATAAAACGCTTGGTAAGGTACAAATGACTTCTAATTGTGTTGAGTTCAAATAGTCAGATTCAAATAAAGTGCGTTCAACCATTACTAGTGCTTCTGCGAACCACCTCTACTCGAAGCCAACGTAATTGGCGCAGTCGATAGGATTCCTGTACAGGCAAACCAACTGCCTGGTGATTGACAATTTTTCGACAGAAACTACAAAACCACCACCAACCACAATGGAATAGATATTCTCTCACGTCATATAGGGGTGATTTTGGGCCTGAGTATTCAAGAGGTAGCTAACAGCCTTCCTGGAGGACTAAATATCCCTGGACGGGGTAAGTCTCTCACACAATTTCCTACCCTTTTTTTTAATTTTTTTTGTAGTATAGTGGTACTGAAATAATTATTCTCTCATAATAATGAAACTAGTTCGAATTCTGATTTAGAGAATCTAACTTTGAATTTGTTTTCTCAGAATTCAAATACCGAAACTAACAGTCAAGACTCTTTTCAGATATTATTTCGACATTCAGTAGAGATCCACGTGAACTTAATACATAGCAGTATGTGATGAAACATTTCAAAATTATAATAATAAAAAACCTAACTTCGGTGTCCTTGCAACTAATAAATAATTATAAAGACATGACAAAGAAATCAAAAGTTGCACAAATGAGAAATGTTGAAATAATAGTTTTGAGTATATCCTCTAAATATATCCCAGCAATTATTCAAATAAGTGTACGATTGAAAAATCCTGATTGCTTAGAAGATGTTATGAAGAATGCAATCGAGGAAGAGAATTGTTTTGTCTTTAGTAAATGAAGGTGAAAAGAATTCTTCTCAATCTTTACCAACACCAACTTTGAAACCATCCAAAGGTCAAATCAATTGTAACAGAAACAGACTAATCAGCTACATTTCAATGTATCAAATAATTTTCAAACACTGCAATTTCGTTATGCATTCTCCAAAGGTTTCCCACTAATTAACAAGTTTCTGGAAGATCTTCAAACGTAAATGTTTGGAAACCAAAAATTCAACAAGTAAATAAACCAATACCAATGTCTACTTCCACCAGACATTCACCTACAAGACAAAATTTTTTTAAACCACAGACTAAACTCAACT